GTGGAGGTGCAACCCCGCAGCACCCAGCCCGTGAGCCCTTGGTTGCAACTCTGGCCCCGCATGGGTCTCGTCTCAGCACAGTGGTATTGAGGAGGAGCAGACAGCAGCACGATGAGAGCTGGGTGCTAGTCTGTAGGCGTGGTGTTCCAAAACAGCCCTCGCAAGGAGACAAATAACACCAGGAGCGGGGCAGCGGACAGCAAGTGGCAAGGCAGTACCATGACTGTGCTAGCTGTCAGAAATGGGCAAAGCTGGGAGCTGAGGAGAGGTTAGTGATAGGCAAGCAAGGCTGCCGCAGAACACGGAGAGATTCTGAGGTGTTGTATCTGGATTCAGCGTGTTTCTCAGCAGTGGCAATGCAAGTTTTTACTGCCTCGTAAGTGGAAAATACACCTTCAAGAATGTCTAATGAAGGACGTTGACATACCAGAAACTAATTGACTCATGTTGAATTTGAGATATCTTGGATCCAGGCAAGGAAAAGACTTTCAGATAAAAGTCCTTGCAATACCTAGCACATAGAAATGCAGCTGTTCAGCAAGATGCAAGCAATAATACACAACCACCTGGCCACTGAGTTCATTCCTAAATGTCAACTTTATCTTGGAAGTCCATTTGCTGAGTGAATTAAAAATAGTTAAAATGTTAAACGGGAAAGGAAAAATAATAGTTTTAAGAAATCAAATGCCCTGCAAAACTGGTGTGCTGGTTTGGCAGTATTCCAGTATTAGAATACTGCCAGATTTTCATGATACAGAGAACAAACACAGCACTTGTAAGTTTTTTTGTTCTTTCCTTATTCACTGCACTACGACCTTTAACTAAGGGCTGAAAGTTCACCTTTCTAATTTGATACTTTTGTGAAGAATATGACAACTTTTGATCAGGCTTTCTTTTTTTCCTGAGTGCAAATAAGTTGCCTGTTCTGGTCCTGCTGGGCCTCTCAGGTACCAGTCATGAAAAACTTTTTGCTTCTCCTTTGTAAATACATGCTTCTCCTTTGTATGTCCCTGCCAGATTTGTATTCCTATTTCTTCATATTTCTATAATTATAGTTCAACAATTAACAAATGTACTGTTTTTTTTGTTTTTTGTTTTTTTTTTTAAATGCAGGTCGGTATTAATATCTTTTTCTTTCCTGATTTTAGACATTCATATCAAATACTGAAGTTGCTCTTTTTTTATATATATAACAAGCCTTTTGAACTTTTACAGCAAACAGGCTGCCTCTGCTCTTGCAGAGACATATGCTGTAGTAGTGGTATACAAGACACTTCAGCATATCAATACCAGGCACAGATCTACTATTGACACTAGTTTTGTCTGTTCTTAGTGAATATAATAATGTACCCATTAGCACGGCTAGTGTTAGTTGGTAATAGCTGGCAAAAGAAGATCATGAGACCCTGTGCTCTAGTCTTGTTGAATATTTGTAACAATATTACTTAGGCTAGTTGTGATGCAATTGCTGACTTACAATTATGTTACTATCACTAGACTGCATAGAGTCTTTTATTAAATACTTAAAAATTTAAGTCACTGGATAAAATTTGCAGAAAACCAAAGCACAATAAGGAAAGTTTTGGACTAAGACATCCTTCCACAAAGTTTTGACTGTAGGGCTTTGAGTTCAATTCTGATTTGCACCACTTCTGGAAAAACTTTTATTATTATTATTCTTTTTTTTTCTTTTTTTTTTATTTTTCTCCACTCATTTGGATTCAAGCCTGTGAACCATATGCTCAAATTATTCAGAAGAGCTTCAAGAACCCCCTTGTAGTCATCACTACTATCTAGCAGATATGCCTACAATGATATTGTTTGCTGTCTGAACAGAGACAATGTGCCCAACTGCACATTTTTGATCATGCTGAAATACCTTTTTTTTTTTCTGGTGCGTTCCAGATGGCCAACTCACAAAAGGAAATAGCTTTATTTAGTAAAGGTGGAGAGACTTTGTCATTGTGTAATGTCAGATAAGGAGAAATAAATACTTGAGTATTACTAACATGAAAAAGACGGGAATAGACAAAGGGAGAAAAAAGTGGAGTAAGAAGGTGTAAAGAAAAGTTTAAAGAACAAGAGGAGAATCAAGGTCATAGTTTGAGAAATAGATTGTTTGTCCCACGTACATTTGAAAACACTTGTAAAGTGGCGTAGGACTTCAGGTAGTGTCAACAGCTGGAGTATTCCCAGGTCTGTCTCAGTAACTCATTGAATGAGAAGGGGGATATTTTGTAGCCTAAAATGAGGTTATTCCAAACCTGTAATATTTTCAATCTTTGTATTTGTTTTACTCATTTCAAAATGTCATCTCTGAATATTCTGGTTCTCAGTCTTCAGGTGGAAACTAACTTTGACCTTGCAGGAAGATATTTGAACTAACTTTGTTGCATTATAGATATTTTGGCAGAGAAATAATCTGCTTTATGCTTTCTAAAATTTTGATTTATGGTAACATAATGATCTAGTGATACATAGTCTCTTTTTGGAGTGGTTACAGTAAATTTTAGAACAAATTTTGGAACCTATATAAGGAGTTCAGAAGCATCATTACAAATAGATGGGATCTTGTCATGTGTATAATTTTGTGACAATTGCAATTTTTGTCAAATTGGTATTTTTTTCCCAGAAAATTGGCATGTTTATTAAATAGCAGAGGTCTCTATAGAACTGTTAATCCTTGCTAATCCCTCCTCTGCTCAAGGTTGACTTCCCCCACCCTAGACATAATGCTGTTTGTGAAGTCAAAGCCAATATGTTTACAAGGAAATTACAGTATTTTGAGATAAAGATTTCTTGATGGGGTTTGTGCTGGCAGACTAAGAACTGAATTTCTTTTGCAGACTGCTCACAGGAACTAAAAAGAAGGTAAGATATTCACAGCCCAGCAAATGAAAGGGCGTGCTTCCCTGCAAACATGTGCTGCTACTTCTGTAAAATGCATGAGCAGATATAATCCAAACAAGGTCTCTGTGCTACTTTGTGATCTGAAATGTTACTGGAAAGTTCTGCAAACATTTGACATTTTAACAGATCCTTGTACATAGTGACTGGATTTGCTTGGCAGGATTTGTGTTACATCTGGTCCACCTGGGAATAAAGCAGCAGTGAACCAGCTGGCTAGGAGTCTATGCTCAGGTCAGGGAAACTGACTGGTAGGTGCCCCAGGCATCTGATATATGATGGAATCCCACCAGTCTGGGAGAGGCTGTGGCTGTTTTTCATGCGCTGTGGCCCTGCTTTGTTGTTTGGTTTTCTGTCGCCAACTAACTTGCACAGTGCTGAACCCATCCTGTTCCCCCATTGCTCCTCTGTCCTTGACTTTACTTCATTGTATGGATTCCCTTTCCTTTTAAAAGGTCTATCTGTTGATATTTCTGGTATCCGGGTGTGACCTGAGTGACTGAAGTACTTCTTTTCATGCTCCAGTCCTACATTAGCTCTTTGGCTCTTTTATTTTTAGTTTGGTCTGCAAGCCCAATGCAAAGTTCTTCTAATAGAAGTGAAGGGAAAATACGGATCTGAGAGATGTTCTGAAAGATCTGTGTTTTATCGTTTCCAAATGTGATTAAAGTTGGCTATATTAAAGGATGGAGTTGCATGTCATGAGTTCTGCTTTTAGGTGTGGTGTTCCGGGAAAGATGTTCTGCTCAGCTCTGCATAATGATGCCTAGAGATACCTTGTTGTTGATTGTCACAAGCAGGAAAAAAAAAAAAAATGTAACGGTGCTACAAGCAGTCATCTGCACTTGGTTGAAATCATACTCTGAATGCATTATTGGGCAGGGAAATTTCCTCGTACCTGCTTTGGGGTGATATTGCAGATTGCACTTGGGTGATACTGGAGAGACTGAATTTGCTGTTGTGCTATTGCAGCACACTGTCAGCCTGTTCTGATTTTGTGCAAATATTTAACATGTTGAGCCAGTTCTCTAAAGAAAATAGTCAACTGTTGAAATCTCACATGCCTAAAAGCTCATGTTCCAGTAAGTATTCTTGTTTGCACATCCTGTTCCAGAATTGGAAACTTTTCCTGAAAAATACTGTTGGAGGTAAACAACTGTGCTTAGGAAAGCTTGATGACCACTTCCTGCTGGCAAAAGCCAGCTCTTCTTTGGAATAGTGCCAGCTTTTGAAGGTAAATAATTCATATTTTTTAGCCACTCCCTAGGCTTTGCATTCAGCTTGGAGAAAGTTACCAGGAAATGACAATGTTCTCTCTCAACCAATTTGAGATTGACCCAACACGTGAAGGCTATTGCCACAATCATCTGTCTTCCCTTACTCATTTTTCCTTTGCTGAACAATCTGTGGGTGCCGGATAATAGTCTATGTCCACGGAGGGACAAATCTGCAATGCTTTTTTTTTTTTTTTCTTAGCTGCACTTGGTTGAAAGTGAAGTGCTTTAACATCATTAATTGAAGTCCCTATCAGAGCTCATAACTCAGATTAGTCTTTAATATAATAGATAAGATGAAATAGAAGAAATAGTGGCTAAACTTATCTTTGTGTCTTTGTGTGAATGAATCAGTTTTTAATGTAGTAATTCTGTCATTTTAATGTAGTAATTCTTTCTTTCAAAGGGCATTTTTATTGCCCTTTTTTTTTTTTTTTTTTTTTTTTTGCTTTTGGTCGTCAGAAATGGTGAAATCACTAGAATGAAATTGAATCTATAGAAATCTATAGAGTGAAGTAGAATGAGAACTTACAGAACACTGACCCAGATGCAACTAGACTGTCCTTGTTTGCTTATTTTTTTTCCTTAAAGCATAGAAAATGTAGCATAACTGTACATTTTACCCTAGTGCTCATCAGTCAACATCAAGGTTGTAGTTAAATGTAATTTCCAGAAATATGCAAGGTATGTTATTTACTTTAGATGCTTCAGTATTATGAGAGAACAAAGTGGTAAGCATGGCAAATTGAACACTGATACAATTGGTTTATTTTGAGTGAGGATTTGTTTTTTATTTTATTGTAGCTGGAAGTGAGTAGAGATGATAAAGAGCCTTCTCAGGTGAGTATGAGCACAGTGAAAGACATTTATATGGATGTATTGAAGGGTACTAATTGCAGAATGAATTGATGTTTTTTCCAAAAAGAATTTTAGAAAATTTGACTCTGTTTGTTCCTGTCTGTCCTTGCAGAGATTTTAGATGACAAATAAGATAGCAACAATTTCTTAAGCTTATTCCTTAGTATTCTTTTTCTTTCTTTGGTAACATGATCTGCTGTACCCGTATGCTTGGTGGAAGCACCATGCTGGTCTGTACTGTGTTGCAACTCTCATGTAAACTTTTACATGATATCGGTTGATAGGTTGCCGGAAGAAAAGGATTCAGTTATTTACATGAGGTTATTTTTAGGGTGATTTATCGCACACTAGTTTTGCAGGCCTGATTCCGTACTATCTTTTCCCTTCTGAGGACAGTACAGAGGCAGCAAAGTGCTCCCACATTAGAATGTTACCCCTCCACACAGATTTAAATGACTGCACATTGTTCCGGACACTGGAAACCTTAACTTTTCAAACATTAACAGAACTTTTGTTTTAAAAATATTTTTATATATGAAGTTGTCATGGCTAGTCTGTTGGTTAGTTTGAATTGGTTCAATATCGTTTAACTTGAGTAAATTGTGTTTACAGTTTTTAACTTTAAATAGCAAGATGCTGAATGATCCTTTTTCATAATACAAATCTCCACTGATTTTGTGACTTAGGGCTTTATTTTTATTTTGGGGGGCATTTCAGCGGGGGCATTTCAAACTACTTGGAGTAATTTGCTACTTTATTTTTTAATCTAGAAAAATTGATAACAATGAAAGCAAGTTTTTCATATATATAGAAATATTGTGAGTCATTGTTCTGTTCATAATTGCGATAGTGAAATTTGAGCGTGTGATGATGAAAGGTAATCTTTATTCAAACTACACTTTTCTGGAGATGTGTTTTACCCTGCGGCCTGTTTTCCCAGGGGGCCGAGGAGCTCGTCTGCCTCCCCGGGCCTGCGAGGTCCCCTGCTGGCTGTTGCGGCTCCGTGCACACGACTTCCCGCTTCCTGCAAACGCAGCGCCAGAAGAACCCCAGAAGTGCCGGCGCTGCGCGTCTCCACGGAGCCAATGCAGTGTTGATGCTGCTTCAGGAACGGAAGCTCTTCAGGCGCTCAGGTATGTCCAGTAAAGCTTTCGGTCAGTCCTAAGCCTTTGTTTCCCTTTGTTCATGTTGTGCAATCATGTCTCCAGAGAGGCAGAATAACAGTTTTACCTAGTGATAAAAAGGGCAGGGAGGTACTTGGCCTTGAATTTACTGGACATCTGCTGTTTGTGTAGCATATTAGGAGGTATAGCTTTATATTTTTTTTTCTTATGAAATAAGCTGTAGTCACGGCCTCTGCAGAGTGCGGTGCTAAGATGTGTAGGGAATATGAACAGTAGAGACTCTGAGTTATCAGTTATTGAAAACATCTGGAAACATCTCTCTACAGAGAAACAGAGACGTAGGGAGAACAAATGAGATAAATGACTCTGCTTGTCCTTCACACAGCCGCTTGTTCTGCTATGAGGCTTTCTCAGATGCTTTGTGTACTGTGAAGTTTGGTTTAAGAATCACTTTAATTAACACCTTACATTCTCACTTAATAAAGACCCTAGTAAGCCTCTCTGTTCACCCAAGCCTCTATCTATCTGCAGAAGTCTCTGCTGCACAGTGTGCTGAAGGTATATCCCTAAATCCCTCTGTAAGGTTCTTTAATTTATACAAGTGCAGTTCCAATACACCTGCTTCTTAAATTTGATTGTCATGACAGTCAAGCCTTTGAAAACAAATACCAAATGAATATCTGTAATGTAGGATGTGGTTAGTCAAGGCAGTTTACAATTATATCCTTCATTTCAGTTTAGTATTTTGAAATAAAAGACAGACACTTCTCCCTTTGGGAGAGACAGCAGATATAAGCAGAGGTGTATTCCTCAGTTGCTAGTCTCTGTTAAAACAAACTTTTATAACATTGATAAACCACTGTAAAGAGTACTTGGAATACATTGGCTAATTTTTAAACAGAAGTTACAAACAAATCTATTGGTACAATCTAGGCTTTCTTATTTTGGTGCTTTTAAAATAAAAAAAAATAGCATAATTCTTACATTTTAATGTAGGATGTATTGGCATCTTTCTTGATTGGTCAGTGATGTTTTTCTCAGTTACTGTTGGATCTCACCTGGACTTTCCTGAGCTTGAAAGAAAATGCAGTGTTTCAGGCATCAGCAAACAAATTAATTACTCTGATTAAGCTGAACTCTGAATTTATATTGTAGTAGCTATTGGAGATAACTGTCTATATGCACATTTCCATCCTCTAGTTAGTGTGAGGTAATCTCAAACCGAGAGATACTTCATGGTTACGTTCTCAGGTATCTGCATTCTCAGTCCTTTCTCCAAATGCTGTGGAGCAATAATTTAGGAATTTGCACATCTATTTACAGTCATCATGTACAGCTTAATTCTTTTTCCACTGTTTGTCAGAAATAGTTTGAAATCTAATGCAGAGGTGAGATATTGTTCTTTACTGGGGAAAAAAGACGATTCTTTAAGATAAAGAACTCTGCTAGTCTAAATCAAAGGCCTTAAATGGGTTACTGATAGGTGCAACCTGGCTGTTACAATGTTCTAACTACTTTCTTCACAGTAGTGGAGACTGTTTGTTTCAAGGGAGACTTTGATCAGTTTAGGAGCAGGATTGAATGCAGATCTGTAATTAGACAAGTTGGGGATTATTGGCCCACGTTCTTTCCAGGCCTGAGCTTCCTGGCCTGGCCTGAGTTTCCTCTGACTTTGTTGAATACTGCACTGTAACAGTTGGGTCACTGGATGCAGAGCAGTGTGCCCCAATAACAGAAGCCCCTGTATTCTGTGGTAAGTGAGAAGAGCAATGGGCAAGATCAACCCTCTGTGTTAGGAGTGCCAGGGTATGCAGCCTGGATCCCTGGGTAGTATTCCTGCCCATCCACAGGGAGGTGGGATTGCTAGTGCTTGGGGCTCTTTAAACCTTGGAGCAACTCAAGGATTATGTAGTTTAGAACTATTTTAATAGCCTGCAAAGCATTAATAACTGCTGCATAAAATATTTAATGTTTAGCCTTTCTGGCCATCTGTGATCATGATGTATTAGTATGTAAATTAAAAGTTTTATTCTCCCATGCTGTTCTGTATGAGATTGCAGAACTTTCTCAGTGCTTACATTCTCTGTTTCACAGGAATATGTCAATCACATTTATGGAAAATAGATCTTAGACAAATTGATTGTTTTAATGAGCCTTTTACTTTGGTTGATTAAAAGTAGCTAAAAGTAGCTGTGTCAGCATAAAAAAACAGAGACTTCTATATAGTGCTTGTTTCTCTACTTTCTTGTCTAAACTAAGTCACAAATCTCCTAAAATGTTTTTGGTGGCTTGTGTTTATTTAGCAAGGAGATGCATCAATTATAAGAATAAAAGGTTAATAGAAATGATGGGGTGATTCAAAGTTTGTGGGGCAAAGCTTTTGCTCACAAATATGGCTGGAAGGAATTTCCACCAGCCATCTAATGTGAGTTTCTTGTAATAGAGATGCATACAGTTTCATAAAAAAGATTAGTCCTTAAATCTAAATCTTAAGGCTTGACCTAAAATAGATGTATGAAAATATAGTCTCATTTTTTTTATTAATATCTCAAGTGATAAATAATTGCTAGGTAAACTGCAATAGGAATCAATTGCCATGTTTAAAATGGACATTATTTTCTGCTTCAGTTTATTAAGCATTAACTTCCAGCCACTGCATCTCAAATTCCTTTGACTGCTCTTCCTGCCTGAAATTTTCTCTCAGGACAGATAGCCATTTGAGGCCTGAAAAGCACGTGTTCAGTGTTGCACCTTTAGCTGCCCCAGCACACTGAGAAAAGGTACCCAAATGGAGTTAGTTTGTATCAGTCCTGCCCCCTCCCCTTCCCTTCACATTCCTTCAGCATCTCCATCCCGCAAAAGGCAGCACATGCTGTGGCTAATCTGCGGCAGCAGCGCACGCACACGGCTGCTCTTGCCGCTGCCCCACAGAATGTGCAACAGCTGAGCTCCACGGAGCCGCCCCCGCTCCAACAAGCAGCACTTGTTCAAGTTTCTTCTCCAAGAGTCTTCATGTAATCTGTGGAAGCCTGTTCTTTAATTCTTCTGCTTCTCTTTTTAAGTTTAGCTCAGTTTAGTGAACTGCTGAAAAGATATTTGTGTAAACAAATGAATACATGGACAGTGAAAACACATAAACCTGATTTCCTTTGGAATCCAGGCTGAACATATATGAAAATGTTCTGCAGCGCTTAAGAAGTTTGAGTTGCATTAATATAGATAGTATGTATATTTATATCTCGTTAGGAAAGCCTACTTCAAATTTTACAAGAAATTCATATATTCATTTTGGAAAACAGTGAAAGTTAGTATGACTTAAAAATCTAGTACATTAATAGTTCTTCGTATGGAATGTACCATGCTAATTCAGTAAACAAATTGTTCTAGAGTTTAGGAGAATTGAATATACCATCCTGATTTTATGAAACATAACAGTTGGTTAAAGAAGCATTTCCTTAGGTAGAGGCTTGGATTTTACCTTAAAATGCATTGTATTCAGTGAAATAACATTACTTTATTTAGGCAACTGTCAAACCAGAGTTCCCTTTGTTTATATACCTTACTTTTATATCAGAATTTAGTTATTTATCTATTTGCATAATTTTTATATCAGAGCACTCTATGTCTACACTGTAATTCTTGGCACTTGCTTCCTGGGTTTATCACTCATGTTATCAAAGTACTAATTTATAGCATTAAAGGAGTTTGCACACTTTTGTGTGTTTTGTCTTTTGTCTTTTGTAACATTTAAACTCACATACACATGTATTTACTTCCAGCCCTGGAGATAATCACTTAAAATGCAAGCACAAATAGAAAAGGCTTCATGTTAATTACATGGAATACTATTTGAATGGATTGCTATGTAAATGTAAAACCAACAGCAACAAAACTGTTCTCTGTGCAGGAGAACTGGAAGCACCTCCGTTTCTTAGATATTTTCCCATTGCCATAGTCCTTTTTGGATACTGCTGCAGTACCCACCCACTTCAGAGTCTCTGGTTTTCAAAAGAATTGTAAGGCTGTACAACTATCTTAAGACCTCTCTTCTGCCTTTAAGCTTAGTTTAAATTAGCTAGTAGGTTCGGAAGAATGGGGCTGACAGACAAATGACACATGCTTAATTTCATTATGAAATGAGGCTAAAAGAGGCTCTGAAAGGGATTCTCCAGTGTGATGTATTTGTGGTTGACTGCACAGATGAGGCAGAAAAAAAAGCCTTAAAGCCAAACGAATTTTCAATTAGAGAGAGGGCAAGTGCAGGGAAACCGTGTTCCTGCCTTGGTATAATGGTGAGAATGCCTGATCCCACTGCGAGCAAATTCTCATTTTGATTTCCTCTTGCTTGGTGTGCAGATCCATACTCTTTGCACTATATTCCAGTTCTGCTGTCAGTACAAAATGACTAATTTTGTCTTGGAATTTTTCTGTAATATTCACCATAGTAATATGTGAGTACTTCAGTAACATCGTTTCTCTGAAAAGCAGTTGGTGAGGAGGGCTCTATAATGTCCATTCTTAGCAAGAAGTGTCAAAGGCATCAACTATTGTTGAGCGCCTTCTGTGAGATGCCTGGAACATACTTTCTCAGAACATCTGGCATTATATATCACTGCATTATGTTCAAATCACTACAGTAATGACTACAGTTGCAGCTATAAATGCTTGGGACTTCTGCATTTCAGACCCCAGGTGTCAATGTAGGGAGAGAAAAAAAAAGAAATATATCGGAGTATTATGGCGTAACTGAATTGATAATTCAATTGATACGTGTTCAGCTGGAAAGGAAGCCAGCTAGTAATATTTGATTGCTTCAGTGATAGACACTCCATTCTCACCCTGCAAACTGCTGCTTATATTTCTGCCTGAGCAGAGGGAGTTCAGTGATCTAAGACCCAGTGCTTCATGCCCCTGCAGGAGGGGCATGAGGCCAGTGCAAAGGTGGTTCTGCCAGGCCTGCCCTCTGCGGTAGCAGATACTGACAGTCTTGCCAACTAGATCGTATCTTCAGCAATTTTGTCTTAGAATTAGGTTGCTGTCTACTTAGTACATAGAGCCCCATTCCTGTATTTTTTGTGTGTTAGTCTCCAGGTGTGTTCCTGCTGTTTCTGCATTCCTACATCTCAATGTAACTGGGAGAGCCCCTTCCTAGAAAATATCCCTGAAGTACAAATAATCATTAACAAATGAGGCAGAGGTCTTTTCTGTATGTTTTTTTCCCACTATAATTCATTGATTTCTGCCTTATAGTGGGTTTCTCCCATGAAGAAAGGTCTTGTAGCGAAAATGCAGCTAGGTAAGAGAAGACTTGCACAGGTGACAAAATAACTGTGGGATTGTCTAGCTTGGATACTCTCTGTTTGCTAATTTGCAATCTTATTAATATCTCAAGCTGTGATGATTGTATGATTTTTAATTGAAAAAAAGGAAACAACCTGTAGTGTTAACTGATGCCCAGCAAGGGATATTTAAGCATAATGCAATAAAGCTTACACATTTGAATCCCTGTAGTAGTGCCTTGGCATTGTCTCTGTTGACCAGCAGAGGAGGACGTGGAGTGTTTCTGTTTCACAGCTAGGAATCAGGAGTCCTGAGTCTTACAGACTTTCGTAGGCCCAAAACTGTGAATTCCATGTCATTGTCCTGGTCTCTTAGGATGAAGATTCCCAGATCCCATCTCCTCTTCTTGAGCTGTTCTTCCCGATAGTATTTTAGCTTGCTGATTCTATTTAAAAGTAATCCCCCCCAACACGCACAGACTGGCTGTCTTTAGCCTGGTTCTATTCCCGGATTCTGTTAACCACACAGCTCCACAAAACAGCTACTTTGGCATAATTAAGGAAGCATCAGAGAAAATAAACCAGTGGTGGAAGAAAGAGCTGTTTAAAATAAGTGCTTTTGCAGTAACAGGTGAAGTTCTGCAGGTTCAG